GGATGGAAGGATGGATGGATGGAAGGATAAATGGAATCGCCATTCTCCATGTTTCTAACCTGTACGAGAACAATGTCACTATCTTCCAAGTCCTCTACTCCAGTGTTCATTTCCCCACTTGATTTTGTCTGAAGTTCGACTAACGTTCTTCCACGATAAGCAACACCTTCATGCTGTAATCAAACACAACTGAAATCATCTCTCAACTTACTTTACGCTGATTTTTCTTGATTTAGGCAAACCAGTACAGAAGCCGAAAAAAAAAAACAAAAAAACAAAAAAAAAAACAGCGCAATTTAAGAATACAGCACTATTTATAGTTCCTCGACCTACATTGCCTTCGTTGAGGTATTCAAGCTCGTCCCCTACAGTTGAAAATTCTCTTGTTGAGCCGTAGAGATTGACGAAGCAAGGACCAAATGTAGGTAAAAACCCTGCAAGGATACATTAGACGTGTGTTCGCAACAATGAGAATTACAGATTAAATCATATATTCGTACATGTTCCTTCACCGGAAAAAGCTCTTCGGGTAAATGGAGGTCCTTCTACGCAAAGTGCTCACCCGGGAAGGGGGAAAATGCGTGTCTTTCCAACTCCTTTCCTACGCCAATATCAAAGAAATGTGAGAGCGCCGGACCCAACTGTAAATCGATCCCCTCAGTACTCTTCTGAACTGCGCACTTGCTTGTGATAGTTTTCAGTGGCCTTGTATTCTTTGTGCGACGCATGCGCAGTTACACTAAYGATGGTATGCTACACAAGGACAAAAGATGACCTTAATTCATATTAACAGATAAGGGTGAATGTTGTTAGCTCTCATCTAAGCTATAAAAAGGTGCATTCTAGTCTAGCTTGTTGGGTAGAAATGGTACCAAACGCGGCCAATGGCAAACGAAAATATTCGTACCCAAGGTTTAGACCAGAATACACACACCACGTTTGCAATATCTCAGGAGATGCCAATGACCTTGCCTGGAAAAGGGACAACTGAAAATCAAGAATTTACGTCGTTAAACGTTTAATACCTTCTGTATCGCCCTCTCCAGAGATTTCAGAAAGAGGAAGGTATGTTGTTCCTATAACATCATCAGGAGACATCTTATCCCTTCAAGAAAATATAGCAAAGTAAATTAGCATTTTTAAATAAACAATGGCTTTTTATCTGCTGGTGGCATAAATATTTATGAACATTTTTTCTGTGAATAGTAGCTTTTACAGTTCCCAGTTCCATCGAAGCGAGACGAATTGTGAGCTTGCAATAATAGATATGTGAATAATTGTCCAAGGTGTTAAAAAAGGTCTCTATCATTGCAAGCTCACCGTTCGTCTCGCTTCGACGCAAAGGCAAGTCTACCTTTCGAGATGGCGCAGGGCACTGTGAAAGGGAAGTCCTATAGAGCAGATGCATGTTACGTCATCGCCGCCATCTTGGTTGACGATAACAAAGCATTCCTCATTAGCTTCTCTTGTTAGATCAACCAAGATGGCGGCTGTTTCGATTTTATTCATATCTCAAGGGATTTTGAGTCACACGGTTGCACACAAGAGGACAGTCCTATTGTATTTATGACCTTAGTTCTGTCATTTTCTTACCAATCCCATAACTGTAGCTTGATTTTCTCGCACATTGAAGGCATCTTATTTGATTCAAAACATGGATATGAATTAGTATATAATGTAGCCTGCGTAGCGGCCCTCAATAATCATGGGTTGGGATCCCCCCTGCTTTACAGTCCCCTCCGAATCCTAACCCCATGATTATCGAGGGGCGTGACGCAGGCTATATGTGCTTTTATGCGGCATTTTAGAATTCTCTACTTTCACATCCCCATAATGCCTTGCGTCATTGGGGGGTAACTAATCAAAAATCTGTCCCAAATTCAAAGGTTTCTTAATTGAATTTATACTATACCTGCTTTTATCTGTACAATACTGATTATCAGTTTATTCCAAGTTATTTTTGCGTGTACAGATCATCAAGAGTTTTGGTCTTACAGAAAATGTATTGACTTACGAAAAAATGTTTAAAATTTACCTTAAACGTCTTCAAGCTTTTATCTTTTTCTGTTTTTTTACTTCTTCATTTTATTTTTGAAAACCAAACAAGGTATTTTCAACATTGTCTGATTAGCCTTCAGCAAAATAAGTGGGTTTTTACCCTCTGGTTGCCCCCCAAAGACGCAAGGCATTATGGGGATGTGAAAGTAGACAATACATGGACATTCACGATGGTTACATTATCTTCACACACTCACGGAGTGTCATTATCCTATGATAAATATGATTCAATGAGAACTGTATTTCCAATTCGTTTTTACCTGGAAACGCACGGATAATTCTTGGTTGAACTCAGGATTGTCGTCACTTTCAATGTATTTTGTTTTACACTAAAATTTAAAGTATTACTGATTAAATTTAAAGTGCTACTACGACGAAAATTGCTCAAACTTGGATTCAGCTGAAACTTCCTAAGAATACTCTTTAAAGGTCCAATAATCACTGTATGAAGTGTTTTCTCGATATTCAGGACGAAAGTATGATATTTTTACGATTATTTTTTGGAGTCTGTGACGTCATACACTCAACATCAAACATTGCTACACATATTTCTTTGTATATAAATCCTTAATTTATTTTATTCCTATGAAGCCCAAAGGG